GGCAAAAATCTGACCGTCACAAATATACGATAGGATACAGAAAGATGGACGACCAACTAAAACTTAGTGCATACACTTTTGCAGCAATAATCAGGAAGTATAGAACAAGACGAAATACCACTAACCAGTGCTGCAGTGGTTGTCCTACTATAATAATTGTAAGAGTGAGCTACGTTCACGATGTAGCTGTGACTGCATCGATGCCACGGTACCTTTCTGCCTGTGATTTCATGTTACTTCTCTGGCAGATTGTGCTGTCAGGTGATGTGTTACTGCCACCAACAAAGAGAAAGACTGCAAAAAACAGTCTTGCAAATGTTGCAACATGCTCTTATTAGAGTTAAAGAATACATACGTGTATTTTGTTGGGTTGCACTAAATATGAATAAAAACTTATTTTGTATGAAAACCCAGCAGTGCACCCTTGAGGTAGTTTTAGATTAAGATTTTAGTTTGTTCTTGCTTTCGAGTGTATCCACAGTTTTCTTAACCAGGAGTTTGGCAAACATTTGCCCAGTAGTCATGGACTTGTAGATGCATAAGTGTCAATTTTACTGAACTTTTTTCAACTGTTCCACTGTTGACCTAAAAGTTGAGTCGGAATGATTACACTTAAACGTACTCTGAAACAAAAAGCGTTGGAATGCCTCATAATATTTTACATTTAGGAGTAAAAATGTGGCATATGTAAGAGAACGAGAAAGACCACTGTGATTAAATTTGCATGGCTAGACGTGTGCCTGATGATATATATAAAAGTGAATAAAATGTGGGCCAAGCTAAATTAATTACAGTCTATCATGAAGGATTCCTGTTAGCCAAACAAAATGCATCAAATCACTTCTATCAGAGGTGGCTGATGTTGGCTGATCTCTTGATTTATAATGAAAGTTCAGTATCAGCTTTGATACATCGGAATAAGCCATAATCCCTTAAAAGTCCTCTGGCTCGAGGTCACCACTTTCAATCTGGTTTGTAAAGAGAATTACTGGATATTTTCCAGTGTGCTGCATCGCACTAATACTGTTTGGTTATAAAGGATGCCTCATCAGCACAACATTTTATCCAGAGGCAGCGTGACGATAAAGAGCAAGAGACACCACCGTGACTGAATTCAGCAAACTTTTTACTCAGCCAAAGTTTAATATGAACCTTTATAGTCCTGGCTTTTGTGAGAATAAGGCCGACTGAGATCACAGAAAACCCATTATCATTGTAAAGTAGATGTCATTGCTTGATCATTTCTATAAATTGGGATGGAGGCCAGCTGAGGCTTCATTAAGGACAGCTAAAACTTTGACCACTTGCACAGTATTTTTATGATATTGCAGTATAGCCTGTAGGTCAAGAGGTCCTAAACCAAGTATTTTTTAAAGCTTAGAGCAAATAAGTCTCATTACATCCTCTGTCAGAAAAGGGATGTAGAGCATGCTAGTGTTAACAGAGCTCTGGAAACTGGGCCACCAGGACATGTGCATCAGTAGTCAAACACAACAGTGGACTCAGATGGACTAGCACAGTTCTATTGTACTGTAAATGGATGAATGCCAGTTTCCAGCCCCAGTCCTGGAGGTGACCGGAACAATAATGAGTTTCCATCAGAACAGCAGACATGTCCTGTGGTAGCTATTGAAGCAGTTTCATTAAGGCCAAAATGGAGCAGAGGCAGCTCTCTGATCAGAGTTTCTTTTGAGTTCACCTGCATTGATGCAATTTGCTGGCTGTAAGCAGCCATGCAGACGAGACAGACTCGCGTTTGTTGATTTGTGTCCATCAGATTTCTTCACCCACCTCTTCCTGCCGTCATCTGTGTTTTGTTGTAACAGCTGTTGTTATTCTCTGAGGTGCTGTTCGTACAGCACACAGATAATTGCTATTAGGAATGTCACTTTAACCCTCTGAACCCTAAGCAGCTTGTCTGTCCCATTTTTACTCACAGTGGGCTAATTTTTTTTTTAAAGCCATATAAAGTCTTGCGCCGAAAACAGCCCAACCATGTATAGAAGGAGAGAGAACTCTTGTGTCTTAGGTCTTATGTGCAGTATGACACAGTTCAAAAATGACAGACATTTGGAATCAGCATTTTTCCAAGTGCTCAAAGGAAAAAGCTGTGCCTCTAAATACTGTTTATATTTGACTACTTTTACAACCTCTACAAAATTGGCATTTTCACACAACTCTGTACATCAACTCTAGACAGATATTTCACCATGCTGAATGTATCTTCCAACAGCTTGCTCTTCTGTATACTGTTTTTGAGCAATGCTGTGTTTATTGTTTTATAAATGCTATATTTTCATCTCTATCTCTAATTTGTTTCCAGACTTTTCTCCTCCCTGTTCTGTAAACGCACCCTGCTGTTCACCTGAAAATCCCTGAATTTTTCGTCAGGTGACTGTTTTTGACGAGATTTAGTGCAAAGTGTTTATTTTCAGTGAAATTTTAAATGACACACAGAATAAAGTTTTTTTTTTTAGGAAATGTAATGATTTCAAGCATAGATGTGGTTAATTAAACAAACAAAACAACATGACACGTGATTAGTTCAAGGACCAAAGAAAGAAAAACAAATTTTTTCAGTTTTTTGGTTCTGTGAAATTGTGTAATTTTGCAGATATTTTGTTTTATTTTTAAGACAACTTGCCTTTCAGACTTGCTGACAGGTTTTGGAGTTCTTTTGAATAGACTTTCTTTTTTTTTTTTTTCTTTACATTTTTTTTAAACCAACTGTTGTACTCTACCTTTAAACCTAATTGTAGATCAACAATACTTATTTGCGGTGCTTCTTCTGCCTTGCATTGCTGGCAAGCCAAGAGGTGACAATGCAAATCTTTTCAAACCTTTTGCACCTATTATTATGTCATTTGTTAACATTAGGCAGAAAAAGCTGTTGCACATGCCAGGCTCCCTTCCTTCACCCTAAATCAGCTGGGATAGGCTCCAGCCCCCCCCATGACCCTAGTGAGGATTAAGTAATGTATAGATGATGGATGGATGGGTTAGGGTTAGGTAAGGCTGGAACAGGAAAAACCCTGATGGGTGTGTTTTGTGGTTATCAGGAAAACTTTCACTTAAAAAGAGAGAGAGGATTGTGCTATTTACTCTCTCAAAAGCTGCATCGTGTTGCTTGAAGTAAATTCTCTTAATGTCTTTTATCGCCCAAGTTATTTAATAACTGTGTGCAAACATGCGGAGTGCCTTTGACAGCTCTGGTCTTTTAAACTTCTTCTTTTCTAATTAAGTTCCAGCCAGCAATACAAATCTCAAATAGTCTAAAATTTGTCTTTTTGAAACTTTCAGTCCCCCTGCCCAGATGAATGATATTCCAAACACGCCCTCATCTATCTCCAGTATTACACTTTGTATCTGCACTTCATTGGTTTGTGCCTGTTTGGTTTACGCAGCAGCTTCCCCTGCTGTCTTTTGTTTTGTTCTCCTTAACAGGGATTTAGTGTTTCTCGCAGCAGGGTTTTGGGAGGGATTGGGCTGGACAGGAGTGACTTAAAAAGGTGTGTGTTGCCTCCGTACCATTCCCAACCGAGTGAAGGGATTTACTGTTCATCAGAGGGTTTATAAAAGGATTGAAAAAGATGGATAGACAGATCAAGTCTACAGTTGACTGAGGGGAGGTGGAGGCGGCAGCGGGAGTGTTGTGGACATAAAGGAATAGTGTTGAGCTGAACACTTTAACACATAGCATAGCTTGGATTTAAGTTGACGATGCATCATGTCAGCAGTGTGACGGTATCTCCATGAAAACATTTGTCTGAAGTTTAATCTAAAGCTAACAAGCACACAGCTCCCAAATTAATCAGAGTCTGCAGTGATGGGATTTTCTTCTCACCAGTTATGTTTTTTGACCCTGATCTCCATCCCTCTGCTCTCTGCCTGGTGCCGCTGTGTTCCTCTCTGTGTTTGGCTGACTTGATTAAATCCATGGTGTAATGGGAAACAAATTATGGCTTGTGCAGCATGATGAGTTGAAGAGGGGGGGTAATTAGTATGTTCATCCACCTCTTTAAAGCGATGTGTGGGTATGTATGGCCCTTCTCCCAGTTCACACTCCTTTTCCTCCCCCCTTTTCTCATTTGTTGGATGTCTCCCCAGCTACGGCTTTCTCTGTGTGGGTGTTAGCTCATGTCCACATGTGGTTGTTGTAGTGCACACATCCTGCTGCGCGTTTCACATTGTAGTAAATAGTTAATATGTATTCATGAGTAGTTACTTGAGGCATCGCCACCAGAGTCATCAGTCCTTGGCCTGGAAGTGATCTGTCAGTGGCTCTAATGATCCAGCACGCACACACTGTTGCAAGGTCTTCTGTCCTTGTCAAGCATGCCAGGGCTGGTTGCTCTCACATATGGCCTGAGAGCTGACGCACCTTCATCGTCACTACAAGACTGTCAGTGGAGAAGACAGGTTTCAGCATGTTCTGACAGACTGACAGACACCAACAAGGATAAAATGTGCTGCCAAAGTCAAGCATGCGGAGAAAAATAAATGTACCACATTTCATTTAAGTGTTTTTAACTCACTGCAGTCCTTATCTATTTTAAGAATCTATTTGTAAATGTCACTAAAGCAAAAGATGATGGATACTAATGACTTTCTTCATTAACATCTAAATTACTGGAACATTTTAGCAGTCTTCACGATTTAAAGTATGACTGCAGAGTGTCTAAGAAAAAGTTTTAAACTGACTTTCTAAAGACTTACTGCCTCTTTTCAGCTGTCAGTTTAGTATCAAAAGCAGGTTCCACAGTGTGCTGATGACTGACTTCTCTAACTGAAATCTCCTGCTAATGCCTTCGAAGCTATTGTGGGTTTTAGTAAGAATAATATCAAATGTACACAAGTTAAAACAAGTAGAAGTGGTTTTGTATGTGGCTTAAGAGTTCACATGATTTGCTATACTGCACAGTGCCTGTGATTTACTAAGTTTTGCTATGATGTTGTATTAATCAAAACCTCTGCCTCCTTCTGCTCCTGTCTCTGTACAGTGGTATCGGCAGAAACTGGCCGTGGGCATCGGGCGGGAGCAGCATCCTGGCAGAGTATGGCACGCTGCATCTGGAGTTTATGCACCTCAGCAAACTCTCAGGAAATCCAGAGTTTGCTCAGAAGGTAAAAACCAACAGAGCAGACTATGAAGTGTAGCTTTTGTACCTTAATATTTTCCCTAAGTTTCCATTTCCTTCTTTGGCTGTTTCTCTGTTCTGCCTTAACTGTTAAGCATGGTTTCAGTATGTAAAGTACTTTATGTGGTACTTCAATACTGCTTCTTTTATCATTAGGTGATGAACATCCGTAAAGTGCTGAATCGCCTGGACAAACCCCAGGGACTGTACCCCAATTACCTGAACCCCAACAGCGGCCAGTGGGGCCAACGTAAGTCTTCACCCCTCTGTTATCTTCTTTCATTATTTGGTCTTGTCTTTGTGCTGCATTTACTGTTTGAGGAAAATGGCATTGCATGGCTGTGAAATCCATTAATACAATAAACATGCACTTCTTTCCAATTATCTGACAGCATCTGAACACATCGGCTCTCTTTCTGACTAAGTCCCTTCTCACTTTCCTGTAAAAGCCACAATTTTTCCAGGGCAGAACTAGTTATACTTCTGTATTACTTTCAGAATGGCACAAGTCTGGACTGCATGCTGTTACATTTACAGAAGGGCATGCTCAAAGGATGTATGTTTAGTTTTGTGTAGCCATACAGGGAGGATTTTTTTTTCACATTTCAGACTCATTTTGAGTTTAGACATTGACCTTTTTGACTCACTTTGCCCTTTAATTTCATATCTGTTACAGACTGAAATGTCCATAAAAAGTCTTTAGCAGGTCAGATTAATATGATTTACCATAAATAAATCTAATCTAGGTTTTGACAAAGTGATAACAGGAGCAGAAGTTTAGTTTAATGTTTCCGGCTGTTTGTTGAGTCTTTCCTCTGCAGCAGCAGGCAGCAAGAAGATCCATATTAGTGTCTCCAAAGAAGGAGAGTAGTCCGTATTCATGCACATAAAAGAACAGCAGTAACTTTATTAATTACTTATAACTATAAATTATTCCAGACATGGAGATGGGCTCAGTCAGGATCTAATGGTAACTGACACAGTGATCTTGTCAGTTACAGTTACAAGTCAGGTGAGCTGTCACACAGAGTCACTGTTATTTGCTGCAGTTAAATCATACATAGCAGTCATCCTAAGGTTGAGACCTGAGCTCCATTACAGCTGTCGAAATATTTAGATTTTACTGTTGGTAAAGCTGGAGTTAGATTATCAGTAGACATGGACTTAATTTTCAGTGTTTAGGAAATCATAAATGACCTGTTCTGTTAGCTCCAGTTTAAGCTGCTGTTATTTTAAAGTTAGTCTTGTGTTTTAATAATACATCATTATGTGGGATGAATATGGCACACATGTCGTGACAGTGACTGCAGAGAATATGTAAAAGTGACGTACACCTGAATGACAGAGTGCCATCACTTTAACATATTGGTGAAGCAGCAGAATAGCAGCCTCTGTGTCTGAAAGGGGCTTAAGTATTCATAAATGCAATTATTGTTAGCTTCTATAACAGTGAGATAAGTAGTTGACTCGCTAACTACTGTAGTTACAAGGCAAAAAAGTAAATTTGAAATTGGTCACGTTTAACAGATGACGTGATTGTATCCAAATCAAAACCACCACAGTCATTAACCTTGTGTGCTTACTTGTCTTGACAACTCAAACAAAGACACACAGTCACAGAGTCCCAGCCTCTGTTTTCCATCAACTTAGTATCACCTTTCTTTCTCATCATCCCTTTCACATGATAAACACATGATTAGCGCTGCTCCCAATTTGTTTTCCTACTTGCTGAGCACTCCCTTTAAAGCTGATTCAAAATGTCAGGGTTTTTCAGAGCTGCTTTTAGCACAGCAAACCAGTGTTATTATTAACTGGCAGAAAAAAAAAATGCATTGATCTTCTGGTTCTTTGGTTGGTCGCTAGTTATGAGCGCAAACATCTCCCATGGCGTGCCTCAAGCCTCGACCCCTGGGCTCAATCATAGCTTCGTCTGCAGAATAAAGGTGAAAAGAACAAAGGACCAGTGTGTGATTAAAATAAAAATCAAAGGCTCAAATCTTTGGGTTAATAATTACCTGGACTTTGAGTCTGTCATCAGAAACATTAATAAAATTTGCATTTATCACTTGAAGAATGTCACCAAGGTGAGACCTTTTTTACTCAAGATGACAGTGAAACACTAATGCATGCAAATTACAACTTGTCTAGATTACTGCAGTGCACTTTATTCCGATCTTTTAAAGAAAATAGTTCTCCACATGTAATTTGTACTGACTAAAACCAGGAGAGTGCACGTACCATTCTTTTATTATAACCATTACACTGTCTCATGTTCAAATTGGGAATTTTAAGGGTGTTAATTGTTTTTTTAAATTTGTGCATAAACTTGTACCCAGTATTGTTTCATAACTGGTCCTTCAACACATTCTCTCCATGTCAAAATCTCCCAACTCGTGTTTATTTACTTTAAAATGGTCAAGAATCAAAATGGTGAAAAGAGCTGGGCCCTCGCTTTAGCTCACCTGGTTGAGCTGGCGACCCATGTACAGGGGCTATAGTCTCTGAGCAGCGGCCATGGGTTCCAATCCGCTCATGGCCCTTTGCTGCAACCCCTTCCCCCATTCTCCTCCCCCACTTTCCTGTCTCTCTTTCGACTGTCCTGCGTAATAAAGGCAAAAAGGCCAAAAAAATACCTTAAAAATAAATACATTTTAAAAATAGTGAAAAGAGCTGAAATGATGCACCATTGAATCGATTATTGGCTCGATGCTGACTTGATCTATCGACCGTTTTGACGATTAATTTTTTCCCTCAAGTATTTTTTTAAGAAAAACTGCTAAAAAAAAAAAACAAACAAACAAATGTGGTTGTACTTTTTAAAATGTGAATATCAGTTTGTTTTCTTTGTCTTCTATCAAATTAAATTCAAGTCTTTCGACTCTTGGTTGGTAATAAATTACCTTGGGTTTATATGCCTGTGTTTCTATTGTTTTCCTGACCAAACAATTAACAATTAAGAAACTAAGCATCAGATTATTCTTTAGTTAAAACAACTGTTACCACTAGTTGCAGACCTAATGGACAGGTGGCTTCATAATTTTTTTAACCACTGTGGCCGGAATATTTCTTAGCATATTTAGAACATATTATTCTTTTAGATTAGCAGTCTTATAAAAATATATTAGGTCAATATATTATTCTTTTAAAACTTAATTAAAGTCCTTGTTTGAAAAGCGCCTTATCGCAGTAAAGCTGTTTCAGCAGCAGTGTGGTTTATGGCCATTTATAACAGAGAAACTGAAGTTAAACATGCTGACAGAATAACCCCCATTCATTTAAATTAGCCCTGTAAAAACGTATTACTTTAAGGTGTACTAGCAATGGAGGCGGCGTAGTTGCTATAGTGTCATCGCCACTCCTCTTCCATTTCTCTCTCTTGTCACACAGTTTCATCACACTTTCTGTCTCAACCTTGTTGACTCACTTTACATTACTGCAACCCACTATTTACCCATGTCGCTGTCGTTTCACCCCTGATTCCTATCTTTAACATCAGTGTGTGCACACGTGTCCGTTCACATACGCGTGTTCCTGACAGGGTGCAATTTTATATCCATTATCAGCCTCTTCAAAGCGTGTAGCTGAACAGGTAATGATAATAATGATAGAGAGGTGAGACTTGAGGAAGAGGAGAGAATGGAGGTATGGAATACAAAGAGAGACCAAAACAGAGAAGAACGTGACAAAAGAAAGATGTGTCATACAGAAGGCGAGCAAAATGTATTTATATAGAACATTTCCTACCCAAAGTGCTTTACAGATTACAGACAAGACTAAGAGAAGTGATGTAAAGTATAGTTTGGGAGAAGAATCCAACACTAAAAGCTTCTCCGTTCCGATGGGAATTGTCATATATCGGAGAGAACTGTCAGCTTAGTAGATACAATTAAAGTGACACTGACAAGTGGCATGAGTGGGCCTGCATATCAAAATCAATTTTCATCCTGTTCTTAAAGCTGCTTTCAGTCTTTTTGACCGCTGGAGAGTGGAAACCGGACGGCTTTCTTGCAGAGAGGTAGAGAACACTATCGATGCCACTAGGAGACATCGCTCTGCCTGGCCGAGGAATAGTTCAGCACATAACACCACAAACAGTTGTTCTCAACACCTTTGTTTTTGTAATTTTGTCTAAGAAATTAGATACAACATGGTAATTTAGAGAGCTTTAGAGATGCAGTTCATAACTTTTAGTCCTCATGCTAAGCTACGTTAACTACAACTGTGTTCAGATTGTCCTTGTGTGAACCCAATCACTCTACTACACAGTGTGCATCTCATTACCCATTCTTGCATGCTATTTAGTATAGCAGAAAAAGGTTTCATTGTGTCCCAATACATAGGATTCCAAATGCAGTATGCCAACAATACCAGGATGTCCTGCCTCTTCTCAGATTTTATGGAAGCCATTTAACCCACAATTCTCTGTTTAGCACGAGTATAAACAAGCACTGCAGCTCATTTTGATTGACAGATTGAATCAGTCAAAGGTACTGGGGTAATACAATTATGAAATAGTATGTCCAAATTGTAGAAATCTTGCATGCAACAGTACATGTTTTGTGAGGGCAGCTGTGGTACAAACAAGTGAAGTTAATAGAAAAATGTTAGCACGTCACCATAGTGTTTGTTACATAGAACACTGTCTGTGTAGTAAGGGTGGACAGCTGTTGGAACATTTTGAACACTACATTTTGAACACTACTTATGATCTCTGTCACAGAAACCATTGGCAGAACGTCTGCACCACATTCAGGGCAACAGGCAACACAAAGGTGCTCAATTTTATAACGTAGCATATGTTAGAACTATGCTTTATAGTTGTGTTGCACTCATTGATTTAGGGGCACCACCTCGCTTTACTGAGGAGTTATTTTAAATGAAATCTCAAAGAGACTTGGTGTGAAATCTCGTTTATCAGTCTGTTATCTGAAAGCCGTCAGCTCTGATTAAACTGATCTCAGTTCCCACACAAAGAAAGACACGAAACCGTGAACTGGTCTGAATAAGAAAGATTTATTAACTATTCTACTGCTATAATACACGTGAGCTATAAACAATGAAATCGGAGTGTGTGTAGTGGATGTGTCATTATATTACCCAGTCAAATGATGAGGATTATGGTGAGAGCAGGATGGTTAATAAACAATCTAACAGCAGTGATTAATAATTTGGTTTGTGATCGATACGCTTGTGAGCCGTTAAATAGTTAAATCATCAACCCGCTCAGCAGCAGAGAGGAAATCTGGCTTA